ACATTGCAGTGTTTCCAGTTCTACTTGATCTGGCACTTTTACTTCTGGTCAGTCCCCAAGGTCTAACTGACCATGAAAAAGAAATATTTTGAATCAATTCAGGACACTGAGGCAGCCATGATAACACAACTAAAGACACTCCCAAAAGGGAGTTCCACAACTGCTTCAGAAAATGGCAAGAAAGCATAAATGTGTTCAAGGCAAGGATAGTATACCGAGGTAGATTAGTGGTAATGTGTCTTTTACTAGTGGAGCTTTTTCTGAGACAGTACCAACATGTATGCATGTTAAAAACGTGTTCCCAGATGAATGTCATAAAAGTGTGGACTTCAGACCAGAAAAATACTTATCTTTGTCTGGCTGTAGGCTCACCTTCAATCTGTTTTAAGCAATTCTAAAAATTATTTTTATTAGGAGCATAGTTTTATAAAAATATACTCAGATCTTAAGAGGAGTTCTCTGTTTCTTATTTTTAAAATAAAATCTCCAATTTAGATCAAAAATCTGATGGCTTAAAATATCTTTATTTTTGATGTTGAGAGAATTGAGAAATTGATAAATAGATAAATAAAGCAGATGTTCATGCCTTATAATAATGATACATTAATATTCATGAACTAGTAATAATATCCTAATATATAACATGAAAGGAATCTAAGCCAATTCTGTTATAGTATCACTAGCAGGCAGGTTGTATCATTCAAATTCTGTGTATAGGTCTGAATATTTGTTTGGTCACAAATCACTCCAAGCAGATAAAACATCAACATGATCAGTTCTGTTCATTCATATCATAATGTATCATTTATTTTTATGTCCCCACTTAGGCTCTTTTTTTTTTATCATGAATGGGTATTGAAATTTGTCAAGTGCTTTTTGTCTTTGCTTTTTCTGAGTCTATTGAGATGATCCTGTTGATTTTGTCCTTGGCTCTGTTGATGTGGTACATTACATTTATCGATTTACATATGGTGAACCATCCCTGCATTTCTGGGGTGAATCCTACATGATCATGGTATAATCTTCTTGATGATTTTCTGCAATCTGTTTGGCAGTACCTTATTAATGATATTTACATCTATATTTATTAAGGAGATTGGCTTGTAGTTAGAATAAGAGTTAGATTTAGTATGTAGGGTGTTAAAGAGAATGAATGGGTGGGTTAGGGGAGAGAATAGCTCCCTGGTCACTCACCCTGTTGTGTCCCTGGGAAAAACATTTCTAGGCTGTCTTATCTTCTGTTTGGAGAGAGGCCAGTAAGTCAAGGCCCAAGTCTATCCTCTGTGGCATGACTCTGTTCTGATCCTGTTAGCTGAGAATTTCTCAAAATGGCACTTCCTGTGTAGGATGTAAGATGAAGCCCTATCAGACTTTTCTGCCTGTTTTAACCTTCTATGCATGTGTTGTTTGATTTACAAGTCTCTTCTTTGAAATTAATTAATTTATTTATTTGCATCACGATGTACATCCCTCCCCTTCTTTTGGTTAACTGTGTTTTAAGTTGATCTTCTTTGATTCTCTCCATTGTATTTCTCCGCTATTTTACAGTGTTGCTCTTTTTGTGTCTGTCTCTGTCTCTGTCTCTGTCTTTGTCTTTGTGTGACCATGTCCTATGTATTCATCAGTGTCTATAGGATTTTTCTTCTTGAACTAGGTTCATTTTCTGGTATCAGTAAATCTGTGTCTTCACAGATCAGTAAATCTGTGTTCAAAATTAGGAATTTTGAACTGTAGTTTTTCAAATAATTTTCATTAATTGTACTCATTCTCCTTCCTTTCTATCACTTTGGAGGTGCATGTTAGAGCTTCTGGTATTGTCTCACAGTTCTGTGCAAGTTGTTGGATTTTCCCCTCTTATTTCTCTGAATTCAAGTTGCATTATTTTTGTTGAGCTGTTGAACTATTGATCTATTACCCATGAATGCTGAAATTTGATTTTATATAATTTTCATGTGTTAAAATTTATTTTCATTTTTTAAAACCATTTAGTAAATTTAATAATTCAAAACCATTTTGACCATGACAGGCAGGGAGTCTAAGTCTACCAGTCTCTAACTTAATCAGATATATAATAGGGATAATTAGAAGGTAGGCCCTTTCTTTCCTTTCAACATCACTTTTGTATGATGTGGTATTTTGGAGAGAATCCTAGTTAAAAACCTAGAAAGAGGGGCTGGGGATTTAGCTCAGTGGCATAAGCACCTGCCTTGCAAGCAGGCGGTCATGAGTTCGATCCCCGGTACCGGAAAAAAGAAAAAAAAAAAAAAACCTAGAAAGAGTCCACAAAATTTTAAATTGCTTCTTTTTAATTTTTGTTTAATTTCCAAGTTCTTTACTATTTTATTACATATCCTGTGTATAAACAGATATTTGAACCTCTGTGTTTGTATAGGTTTTTACATTTTTCCTGGCTTTTTCAGTGGTTTATAGTGTAAATCTTGGTCTAAAGTACCTCGTTTCCCTTGTCTAAAGCGTAAAAATCTCTCAAAAATATCAAAATGACAACTCTTTTGCTTGTCAGGCTATATTTTTGATGAATAGCATTTGACAGTATGTTGGGGGCAGTGGAATTCAGTATAAAGTAGTATTCAAATGAAAATCTTGTTTTAAAAATCATCTCTATGGATATATAATTTATATACAGTACATTTGGCAAAGGTTTTAGGTGTATAGTTTAATGGAGGATTGGAGATATAACTCAGTGGTGGTGTCTACTTAGCTTGTGCTAGGCTCTACATTCAATTCATAGCAAACAAAGAAATGAAGAGATGGAAGGAGGCCGTATAGAAGGCTAGGAGCAAAGAATTAAATATTTCCATAACTCAAAGAGTTGCTTCTTTTTTCCTTTGCAGTCAGTCATCAACAACTATGATTCAGGCAAATATTGGTTTGCTTTCCAGAATTATAGAGTAGCTCTCCTTTCCTAGAACTTCACATAAATGCAATCATTTTCTATATATATACTGGATATACAGAGTAACCTGACTTTATGAGCTCACCAAAACATTTTGCAAGCACCAAGTTCCTTTGTTGTAAGTTGCTTTTTGTTGCCATTATTCACTTTTCTGAATATGTAAAAAAAATTACTCATTATCTTATGATAGACATTAGGGTTGCTTTAGTTGAGTACTTTAAGTAGATATGCTTCAAAAATTTTATGATGAGTCTTTCTTCTATGTTTTTATGTCTGTTAACACCTAAAAGTGTAATTATTGAGTAATAAGGTAGAAGTATGTTAAGTTTAGAAGAAACATCCAAAATGGGTACATTTCTTTGAATTTTTGCCAGCAACATAAAAGGACTCTAGTTGTTCCACATTCTCATTGTATTAATAATCTTTTAACTTTAACATTCTGATCCAGGTGTTTACCTTAGTAGGAGAGCACTTGCCTCATGTGTGCAAGGGCCTGAGTTCAATACACAGCAACACACACATATATACATGTGTATATATTCTAATAATTTTAGTATTCTGATGGGTATGAAGTACTGTCACATTGTTGTGATATTAATTAGCTCTTTGCTAATTAGTGACAATACTTTTGGATTTTTATGCACTTTTGGATTTTCTTATTGACTGTATTTTGTTAAGTTTATAAAATAATCTCTTAAGATCGATTTTAAAATATGAATTTTCTATATGTTCTACATACAAATAATATTGTTGCATATAAATATTGTAAAAATGTTTTCCCAGATTGTAGTTTACTTTTGTACTTTTTAAATGATGCCTTTGAAAGAACATATGTTTGTAATTTTATTGAGTCCAGTTTTTATTTCTCATATAGCAAGTGCTTTTTGTATCTAATCTTTGTTTACAATGGCTGTGAAGATATTCTCACATGCTTTCTTTTAATGTATTTGTAACATTAATATTTAGAATTAAAGATCATGCTCTTGCATTTTAAAATTCAGTGTCCCTTGATTAATCTATCAGAGAATGATTGTCGAGTGTTTGCCACATGGTATTTCAGAAGATAAAATAGATCAGTGGCTCTCTAGTGTATTTTAAATCATACTTATGATGAATTTTTATTTTAGGATTTTTACTTGTTATATCTTTTACTGTACCACAGTTAGGTTTCAATCTGTATTTCTAGTGAAGAAAACTACACTGTAACATATAAAATAAATCATGAATAAAACATTTCAATCTAGCCTTTCTCTTTCTCTTCCTTCTTTCTACCTCTTTCCTTTTTTAAGTTATCTTTCTTCCTTTCTTTTCACTCTATTTCGTTTGTCCTTGTTTCACTTCTCTTTTCTTTTTCTTTCAAAATAATACTTGAACCTATTTAACATTATGGTGTTGTGTAGTTTCCTGAGAGTTTTTTACATACTGACTTATTCCCTAAGTAGTAATCAGTTCTCCAGAGCAGTTAATAAGATGCTCTTTTATAATAGCATACTTGCCTCACTAGTGTTGTGCATCTTAGCAATACTGTGTTTGATGTTTGTTGTTTTATTATGCTACAGGAAATTACTTGAGAAAGATTTGGAACTCATAGAAATCTGTAACTCGTGGCTAATTTACATGATTAGCTCTCGGTAGTATGATTTATGTAGAAAGTAATTCTCTAAATTCAAGAGAGAATTGGAAATTTTGCACTGTAAAATGAAACTCCTTCATGCACTTATGACAAAAAATGTTTGAAAGGACAATAGCATAGCCAAAGTTTTATGGTAAATGAAAATACATCCTATTTTCCAGTTATAGGGATACTATCATTTTGGAGTCTAAGATTTCTGAAAGAAGCTTGCTATAATGTAGACTTTAATATCCTATAAACAGTAACATTGCTGAAATTTGTTTTCTAGCATCTTGAGGTTATAGCTTCTTAGTATGCTATTGATTAAATGGTCTGAATGAAATGTCCCTTATGTCTGTTTATCACAGTCTCAGATGCATCTTAAAGGACATGTACTCAGTATATTGTTGTTTAGACTAAACAACTGCCTCTTCCTCATTTCTTTTTTGTTTTTGTTTTTTGTTTGTGCTGTAGGATAAGAAATGGATTCTCAACCATGAAGATATTGCATTGGGAGAATTACTGGGCAAGGTACATGAAAACTGATCTAAATGACTGAAGTTTCTTGTATTTACTATGAACACTTTCTTTACTTATATTCCAGCACACAGTAAGGCACCTTATAAGTAACCTAGGAACACAGTATCATTTCTCTTACAAACTGTCATGTCCAATGAAATAAATGTCTTTAAAAGGCATATGGAGAATTCTTGTTTTCTAAAAAATAGTATGTTTTCCCCAAAAGAACCAAAACCAGTATAATAAAACCAAAACTATTGAACTGAGATTTGTATAGAAACTGAGATAATAAAGTTTAAATAAATACCTAAGAGTTCTATTTTGTTTCTGGTTAAATATAATAGTTCAGAAAAATGAGGTATAACTCCTTGAGAATTCAGAATTGTTCATAGAATTACAGTATATAACAACACTGGGCTTATTATATTAGCCTAAAACATAAGGACAAGCCACATGTTTCAATATCAGTATCTGTTTTGTAACTCTATTAGTGGTCAGAGAAGACAGCTTTATATAAAGGATGTTTCTTTTCTTTCAGTTGAGTTAGAAACTTATTTCACAGGCCTTATTGAATTGTATTATATCAAACATAGAGACATTTGATATTTAAAATAAATTATTTTCAAATTTATTAGTAATATTTTACTTATACTTGAGGTCTAGTAAAACTGTCATTGACTTACTTAGTGATACTTTCATGTGAAAGTTTGAGTTGAGTTTAGCTTTATGATGTACTGTGAAAAATACTGTAAAATACACATATTTTGGGAAAGGTATCACCTATCAGGGACAAATAATCATTACTGAGTTTAACTCAAGCTCAACGTTTCGCACGAATCAATGAGTGACTATTTTTGACTGAAATGTAAATTCAGTGAATTGACTTTTTTCCATTTTAAAAAGATCTCTAATATATGTTGAAGAAAATAAATCCTTGTTGAAATAATCTACTTTGGGAAAATCTTAACACTAATTATTTTAAAATATGGTGTCCAAATGAAAGGATTAAGTTTTTTGGAGACTGCTAATACATTTAATTAGTCACTTCTAAAAAACCTCAAGCTAAAAGCAGCCGCTGATATGTATATTTACTGTGATATTCCCCTATTTCTTAAGGTAATATTTCTTCTTTCTATTGCTAGAGGTAATGCAGTGGCAGTAATAGGGTAAAAAATTATTACAAAGGAATTAATTTTCATGAAAATACAATTTAAGAAATTATAAAACAATTTATTGAAATAAAGAGAAAATATTAAGGACACAATTTAGTATGAAGAAAAATTTTCAATTAAAGAAAAATATTTCAATTATGATGTCAAGTTTATTCTGTAAACTATGGCTTATTAGTTAAATTTAGGTTTTTAGTAAGGTTGCTTTAAGAATAATTATTTTCTCAGAGACTAGGCAATAATATGTCTGTCTCAATAAATTTAATAATTTTTAATAAAATATTGATATTTTAGGAAAGTGTTGCTTAACTTCATCTAATATTTTTAAATACTACAGCAACATGATTTGTCGCTTAATATTTCAATACCTTTTCTAAATGAATATTTACAGTGTACTGGCTGAAAGTGCCTAGATAATTGAAAAGAATCAACCATAATTCATATCTTTATGGGGTTTGGAGTTAACTGTATTAAAGTAATGGCAGAAACTCTGATTTTTTATTCTGCACTATAGTCTCAGTGGACTGTGGTTGCTATATAGTTGATAGTCAATAAATATCTTATTCAGTCAGCCAGTATTTGCTGAATGCCTATTATATGCCAAGCACTCGTTTTCCCACTTGGGATACATCAGTGAACAAGCATACAGAAATCATTTCCTTTCTGGAATGTGTGTTCTGTTAATAGGGAAGATAGAAAAATGTGATATGGATAAATAGTAAATTGTACAATATTAGAGAGTGCTAAGTCCTATAAGAAATGGTTTGGAAGTGCTAGTAGTTGAAATTTCAGTTTTTAAATAGTCATTTTGGACATTGTGTTAAAAATGGGCTGATGAGTTGAAAGGTTGGAGGCTTTTGCACTTAAGTTACTAAAAAATGAACTAGAACAGGGTGGTGACATGGAGACAGTAAAAAATGCTGAGTTCTAGATATATTGTTTAGTTGAATCAGTTAATATCCTGATGGAATCTACATAGGGATTGAGAGAGAGTAAAGTGGGCTGTAAGTATAGCATGTTTCGGGGAACAAAATTAGGTGTTCAGTTTTGAATATATTGAATTTATCTGTTCGTCTTCTCTGTGGAGATGGCAAAGAACAGTTGGTTATTAAGTGTGCCTTTTGAAGAGATTTCTGTGTAAGAAGGATAGAGTTGGTCATTTGGGGTAATGTAGGTGACATTTAAAACCATAAGATTAGAATAGGGAAGTAGTTTAGGATAGAGTGCTTGCCTAGTACATGTGAACTCTGAGTTCAATTCCCAATACTAAAAAATACATAAAACCATAGGATGAGATGAATTCAGGAATAGAGTGTGAGTCTCAGGGAGGGCACTCAGACCCAGAATTCAGCCCTGGTCACTCCAACATTAGGGGATGGGTAAAAGACAAGCGATCCTCAAATGAGGTTAGGAAAGAACAGCCAAATAAGAAGACTTGGAAGACAAGAAGACAAATTATGCCAGGGAGAAGAGAGAGATCAGTAGTGGCAAATGCAGAGAAGTCAAATGAGATAATGATCAAGAATTAACCTATGGATTGGCAGTGAAGAAGTCACTGTTTATTTCACTGAGCAGTTTCCTTTTGAAGTATGTTAGGTGACAATCAAGTTGGAATGGATTTAAGAAAACAGGAGGAGAGTAATGAGAGATAGCAAGGATGTAACTCTTTAAAATTTTGTTGCAAAAGGAAGCTGAGTCATGCAAAAGAGTGATTTTTTTGTGCTATTGTTTAACCTGAGAGAAATAATAACATGTTAGTTTGCAGTAGTGAATTTTATAGTGAAAATTTTATGATACAGGAGACATGAGAATTGCAAGGACAGTATATTTGAGTAGGTAAGAAGAGATGGGTTTCAGTCCACAGTTGAGGCCTGACTTTAATGGAAATACAGTGGTTCATTTTTATCATAGCCAGGAAGATTTGTAGGTGAATAAATTTGTGACCAAGAATCCAGAAGTTCTATTGAGATCACTTTTGGGTACTTTACCCCCAATAAAGTTAGAAGCAACATCATAAGCTCAGAATGATTGTCAGAGACAGGGAGAGACAGTAGGAGGAAACCAGCCATTTGGGAGCATGGGAGTGTGAGTGGGGCTAGAAAAACAAGTGGTCTTGAGTGCTCTGAAGTACTTATTTTCATGAAGTAAGGGCTTCCTAACATTTTATATTCGTGCATATTAAAGATAAATCAGTTAACAATGTTTTTCAGCCGTGTTTAGCTTTGTAGGTGCAGAGTAGGCAGAGTCTGAGAGAAATTTTATTAGGATTAGACTTATTTCGGGCAGTGTTAGTGACCATTTTAGTTTTCTGTGATACAAGCAGCCCACTATCGCACCCATGCCATAGGTTCACCACAATTGGCCAAGAGAGTCCTACAGCTAAAGAAAATAAAGATGTAGAGTGAAGATGGTTTGTCAGTTATAATTACTGACCATGAGATTTAAGGTGAATACAAAAGGAGGAAAGAATATTAAGGGGATTGTACAAAAAGTAATAAAAGGAGTAATGTAAAATATGTTAGGCTACAAAGATTCCTACAAGGTGAAAGGAATTTTGAAGTTTGGTATAAGAAGAAATAAGTTAGAAAAATGGAAGCCGGCACTGTAGTTTCCATTTGACCCAACTGTTCCCCCTGTTAGTATCTTTCTGAAACAGTCATCATACCATAGTGATACATTCACAGTATATAGCCACACAATTTATAATAGCTAAGTTTGGGAAGCAGCCCATATGCCTATCAAGAGATGAATACATTAAAGTAAATGGGTTTTTTTTTTTTAATGTAGACTACTACTGTGCCATAAGGATAAAGTGAAACATTTTCAGGTAAATGAATGTCTCTCAGACTGTGATTTTAAATGAAATAAATTAGACACATAAGTTTAAGTATAAATATCACATTGTTTCTCTTGTGTGAGAAAGTCAAAGTATAAATAAGGAGCAAAATCAATGATAGATATTAAGGAGTAAGAAGAACTTTTTCAAATGGGAAGGGGAAGAAAGAGAAAAAGATTTAAAGAGCAAAAAAAATTGAAGAGAAAATGAAAATAGAGCTTTTATGAGGAGAAAAAGATTTGGAGGGAGGGGAGAATAAGGGGACAGAAAAAAGGAAACACAGGTTTTAAAGGTTAAAAAATCTTCATGAAGGAGGAAACGTCAGAAATAGAACTAAAGGTTAGGTAGCATTTTCTCTGGCAGGAGGGGAGGCTTTTCCATAGAGCTAAAACATATAGATTACATAGATAGATAGATAGATAGATAGATAGATAGATAGATAGATAGATAGGAAAGGCAAGGCAAGGCATGACACGGCACATATTTTGTGATCACATTTGAGTTTTGAATGCATATATATTTGGGGACTATGCTATGAAACTACACAGAGTAGAAAGTAGACGTAATTAAAGAATGGATGCTGAGCAAGGCAGTAATATAATGTGTTTTTTTCTTAGCAAAATTAACTTGGCATTGGTGAAATAGTGTGTTAGAGAGGTAAACAACCAAAGATGAGAACAGTTTAGGTGAGAAACTGGGATCCTAATGAAGCAAGCTTTGCTGAGATGCAAGGGGCAAGGCAAAAAGGGTCATGGAGGGAGTGACTGGAAACTTACGTGGAGAATGATGCTGTAGTTCTTGTAGCTTAGCCATGAAAAGCTTAAACGAGTAAGGTAATATTTTAAAATACATTGAATAATAAGTGCCTGAGAACCTTTCAGATAAAGGCATACCATGTATATACTAATATCTTCTATTTCTGTTATAATTAATAAACTGACAATTATGGGAGAAAACATTCTGAGAATAACAGGAAGTAAATGTACCAGAATGCAGGGTGCTTTACGTAGTATAAAACACTTCATTACATGTATGTGTGTCTGTGTGTGTGACAAAGATTTACATGCTGTCATGCATCCCAAACAATGAATGTATTGTAATTTCAGGGAAATTTTGGTGAAGTATATAAGGGCACATTAAAGGATAAAACTGCTGTTGCTGTTAAAACGTGTAAAGAAGGTCTTCCTCAGGAATTGAAAATAAAATTTTTACAAGAAGCCAAGTGAGTTCTCTAAAGTAATACATTTAGATATATGATTATATACATCCTACCTCCTTTGAGTATTATTGCTTTGATTCTCTAAATATTTCTTTAATGAGAATCAAATTTCTTCTTCAGTTTAGTGTCTGGCATTTCTTCAACAGTCTCCTCCTTACTTCTTTTCTAATGTGTCTTCTAAGATGTTATTTTCTATTTTTAGCTAGAATTTAATGTCCTGCTTTTCTATTCCTATATTATAGATATTAAAACAATTCTGGTAGTGGTGAAAATATAATATATTTTTAAAAACACAAAACAAATACAAAAGTGCTTTGGACAGGTAAGATGGATGGGCATAATAGATTTGAGAGGATAAAAGAATGGATGAGAAGAAGAATACAGGGACCCATAGGTATTGTAGTGTCCAGAGAAAGTGCTGTGAAGAATAGAAGTGATGACAGTGAAAAAACTGAGGCCCGACGTATGGATCAGCTTAATGTTTCTTTCTTTATTCATCATCTAAAATAAGTATTGATGGCAATGGTAGTTGGATGCATTCATTAGTTTATAGAATACAGTTAAAACTGTATGCTCTTTTCATGTACATTATAGGAAATTCAGAAAAATTCTGATAAATTTTAAGTCCTGTCACAATTAAAACAGTTTCATTTTATGATTTTTCACAGGTATTCTTAAGATACAATGCTATGTCTAACATTATTTTTAAAAATACTTAAATTCTTGCTTTCTAACTTATGTATTTTATTGCAAAGTACGTAGTTTAATTTTCTCCTTCAAAGTGAAATGATACATTTTATCTCAAAGATGAACAGTTTATGCGAATTTATGAGTGTCTTTTGGTAGACTCCACAAAGATATATTTAGACATTTCATATTATCAAAGTTTGTTTAGCTTTGTGAAATTTCTTTACTATCCATCTTGCCACCTAAGAAATGACTTTTTTGGTTAAAGTCAAATATTTCAAAACTCTTGTTTTTAATCTCTCTTAGAAATTAGATGCTCAGAGTTATTGACAGAATATTTTCTCTATTTTTAGAATTTTTCCTAGTCTTTCATTCATAAATAATTACATAGTTTTAAATTCAAAAATGAGTTTCTTAGGGCTTTTTCTGTTTTAGCTATGCATGTAAAAATGTTTTGTCTTTATCCAAAATTATTTTTTCATTCTTTAGGAAAGAATACTGTAGGAGCAGATTTATAACTGTATCAGTAGGGCTAAACTTTGCCAATAGAAATAAGCAGGACAGGTATCTAAGGGAATCTAATCTACTTTTGGCTTATGTGTGGAGTCCTATCGATTAGTCTGTCATACATTTATAACTCCTGATAGCCTTTATTCAAACTAAATCTTCTGTTTCAACGTCAGCCTGTGTTGCTACTCTGTTACTCAATTATTTTTTAAATTTGTTGCCAACTTTTTCAAAATTTTTGTGTTTCCACTTTTGAAATTGAGTGTATTCTTCAAGAAAATATTTAATTGTTACAGAATGTAGTGAAGTACACTCTACAGTATTCAGCAGTATGATATAATTTTTTTCTGGTGGTGGATCAAACCAAATACTTTGAAGGGAGTTTACATATTTGTATGTTCTAGGTTAACACATTATTATTAATCACTCAGAGTGGAAAACTTTTAAATGAATATTTAATTGAATTAAGTAGCACAAACTCATTTGTACCTATCTTATGTTTCCAATATTTATTAATAATTTTATAATTCATCCCACTTATCATAATTGCAGCTATGCTAATGTTTTAAAAATTGAATTATGACTATAGTATACTCTTCGTATACATTATTCATTGTTATAATTTAATGCTTTTTTCATTTTTATTCATATGATAAGAATTCTTGTATTTTTCTCTCATCCAGAATTCTCAAGCAATATGATCATCCTAATATTGTCAAACTTATAGGAGTTTGCACACAAAGACAGCCTGTCTATATCGTTATGGAACTGGTTCCAGGTAATGTGATTTAAGAGGTTTTCATGATAACATTTTAATGTCATGTTTTATGGATTTCTTTTTAATTTTCAATCTCTAATTTCTCTGTGTAAATTTTCCAAGGATTTTGTTTAAAATTTACCTGATAACAAAGAGCTTGTATATATACCCAGTATTTTTATAGGCTATGACACCTTGTTGTTTTCTTGAAAATGTCAGCTAGCATTCTTTGGAGACAGATTTATTTGAGTGTAGTTGCACATGAAATTCAATTATATATAATGTGAAAGCTTTTTAGAAAAGTCTACTTAGTGTGACTTTATAACACTGATAGTTTTGATATTTACTACTTCATAACATTTTAAAATACCTTTCCACACATTTTCTTGAATATATGTGTTTAATATAATAGTGCTTTGGGTCACTGACAGACTTTTCATACGTGGACAAACAAGGTGATCAGTCTAGGAATTTCTCCTGGTATTTGTTTCTGGTGACTTTCAGTGTCTTCAGATATTTTGGCTAGCAACTTGTGACAACACAGAAAGCTGTCAAACTCTCTGGGATGTTTTTGGCTTTTCTCATTGTCCATCTTCCTGTTGTAGAAAATAGGTATAGTTGGATCTCAATATGCTTTACAAATATAGTATTTAGTAATTGAAAAATTTTGCTTTACTTTTTGTTTTCACCACTAATAATATCCACTTTAAAAGAAAAAATTTAAAGAAAAGTGAAAAAATTATTTTAACTTTAAAATTTGTGAAGTAAACATAGTATTATAGATTACCCATTATTTATTATCTATATAGTTGTTCTACTATGTCCTAGTCTCTTTTCTCATTGATGAGGTACTATATGAAATACGTGCAACTTAAAAGAAGGAAGTTTTATTATGCCTCACAGTTTGTACAGTTTCAGTCCATAGGCCGTGGACTCCAAGGCAGAACAGCATAGCATGTTCAAGGTCATGGCTGAGGTGAAACTGCTTATGGCATGTTGCACAGAAGGGTGAGGGCGAGAGGGGAAAAAGGGAGAGACATACTGATCAAGGGAAGGAGATAAAGCTTCCCAGGCCATGCTTACTCTAACTTGCTTCTTCAGATCATAATCCGGTAATTCCCATAATCCAGTCACCCAAACCCACACCTATAAACTCATGAAGTTTTGGGATATAAACCTTATGCCAGGGTATAAACCATAACATACTATTTAGGATTATTAATCCATTTCATCCTATTACTTTTATTCCTACTGGAATATTGCCAGTATTAACATCATTTAATCATCTTTTTAATGATCTTCATTCTCTTGAGACAGTATTGCCTGTTAGGTAAGGTATTGTTGCAGTGGTTTGCAAAGTTTGTGATGTGCATCTTCATGGCTTGCATTATTATTAGAAAAAGATGAGAGAATATAGTCCAAAATTTTTATAACAATTGAATATTAAAATCAGATATGCAAAACCTATAAAAACATTAATATTCACATAGGTGCAGATGAAACCCCTTATTAGTAAGAAATGGCACTGAGAAACTTAGATCAGGGAGGTATAGCTAGCTTGATAAGGAAAGGTGACTTATTTTATCACAGATGGTTAAAGGAGCATACATGTAAATTCCAGATTGCAAATCTAAATTGAATAAGACAAAAGAGAAGTTTGCTTTGTATGAAAGCCAGGAAAATGTTTATCTAGATAATAACAAGTAACTTTTACTGATATTTTTGAATGAATAAAACTCCATTAGAAATACAATGAAAAGTAGAAAATTATAAGTGAAAGTTTTTGACTCAGCATTCTAATTATATCCCAAAGCTGATTGCTTTTTCTTTACTTGTTTTTAGCTGTGGTCTCTCTCTCTCTCTCTTCTCTCTCTCTCTCTCTCTCTCTCTCTCTCTCTCTCTCTCTCTCTCTCTCTCAATGTTAAGATATTTAATGTAGGTACCTTAATTTACACCAGTCTTTTTAATTACAGGAAAAATCATTTTAATGTCAGATCCTTTATTCTCAATATTAGTTGGGGTGGTTTTATTGTCATAATCATTCATATACTTCTACCTTTTCCTTGTAATGGTTATAGAGTATTCTATTTTTTAGAGTTACATATTTGTCCAGTAAGTCTTTTATCTCTGTATACTTCATTTCTTTTTTCTTTTGTAAACATTACTGAATAAATTTGGACTCATTATAAGAATCTTTTGGAAGTAAATTGGACACTTAATGGGATTGTGTATTTTGATTTATGGTAAATATCTTAGCTTCTTATTTGATGCATAGCATATTATCATGATAAAGAAACTTTTTAAAAAATTCATTATTTAAAAGTTATGTAATTTAGAAGTTGAGACATATTTGACTGCCTCAACTCAGCTCAGTTTATCATGAAGCCAAATAAAAATGTCAAACTGAGCTCTTATTTGGAGACTCTGGAAAAAGAATCTACTACCATGCTCATTCAGCTGTTGGTAGAATTCTGTTCCTTGCAGCTATTAGTCTGAGATTCTCATTTCTTTCCTTGCTGTCAAGGAAATCTTCTAGTTCCTTAAGGTTGCCTGCATTCCTTCTCATATAATCTCTGCACCTTAAAAGCCATCACTAGCATATCACATCTTTCAAATGTTTTTGACTTCTACTTCTGTTACCTACCAGAGAAAACTCTGGTTTTAAAGTGGTTTAAATGATTATATCAGGCCACCTAGATAATCTCCCTGTTTTAAGAGCTGTAGAATATAATTATCAAAGTGATACTTAAACATTCACAGATCCAGGCATTAGGTGGAACTTGGAAGGCCATCTTCGTGTTCTGTCTGCTACAGTAGATTTGGGTAAATTTTCTTAAAGATTAGTTGCATTATGGAATCAGAAGCCGCATCATACATAGTTATTTAAGTCCATTGTTTGATCTTGCAATTTAAATGCATCTTTTACCCATTCATGATTTTGTACCACGGTACTTTGGCCATTTGGAAAGTATCAGGACATGAAGTCATACAGATAATCTGAATAGTGACACATTCATTCTACAATAATAAATGATCATATGCATTAGAGTCACAAATAATTTGATCAGAAAAGTAATAAGAGACTGTCTAGCTCATAATGGCAGATGTTTTCCAAAATTTTAATTTTTCATTTGAAGGCTTGGGTTTTATCCCTGGGAACAAAGATTCATTTTTTTCTCTTTAAATAGACTTCATTCATTTTCGAAAACTTACCTGCCAAACCTCTTTCTGTTACCCATAATTTGTTACTGTTTATCCATTTTCTTTAAACTTTATTGATGTGTAGCTGTACAATGAAATTTAATATGTACAACTTATGTGAATATGGAAATTCTCATGTAGCTTCAAAACTACTACCACAGCCAAGGTAATGAGCACATCTATCACTAACAGATTTTCTTATGCTTCTTTGTAGTCCCTTTCTCTGGCACTGTCTGTGCCTACACTAATCAATCACTAAGCTTTGGGAGCTGGCACATGAGCATATCACATCTTAGTCTTTTTTCTTCATCTTCCCATTAACTTACTATCCCTTTCCTTCTATGCCTAGATTCCCTTACCATCTGTAAAAGGCCTACGTCTGTCTCCTGTAATCTACCATTTGTTTTGTTCTTTAAATTACTTATACTTTGGATTTCTCATAGAAAAAAATTATAATAGTTAACCTTCTGTATTTGATTTATTACCCTTATCATTATGGTCTCATGGTGCATCCTTTTTCCTATAAATGGCGCAAGTTTATCCTTCTTTGTCGCTAAATAATATGCAATTGTGTACTTGTACCTTACTTTCTTGTGTCTGTTTTCTGTCACTCTAAATTAGCTAGGACTTCATAGAATCTTGTATAAATTGAATAATATAATAAGTCCTCTTTCTTGTGTATATTCTTCCACTTACCAATCATTTTGAGATTAGTCTATGTTGTACTGCATATCAATAGTTCAGTTCTTCCTTTAGACTGCTAAGTAGTATTTTATCTATTTAGCTATCAATAGACATTTGGATTATTTTCACTTTGGGGCTATTACATATTACAGTGAAGTTGATATGAGCATTCTTGTACAACTTTTTATATGAATGTGTGCCTTTTTTTCCTTGGATAATACCTCAGAGTAGAATGAATGTGTCATAGTGAATTTATGTCTAAATCTTTAAGACTATCAAATTGGTTTCTAAAATGATCACACTCATTTACCTTAACAACTGTAGTCTGAGTTCTAGTCCTTCCACATCATCATCAATACATGTTCTGATCATTGCTTAACCTTTCTAATACTCATGTAAAGGGATTTTAATTTGCCTTTCTCCATTACTAATGACGTTGAGGGGTTTTGGTTGATTAGTGATGTTTTATTTGTTTTTCTTTACTATCACTGGTATATCTTCTTTGGTCAAGTGTCTTCAAATCCTTTGCCCATTAAAAAAGAATTGTTTGTTTCCTTTTAATTGAGTCTTGGTTCTTTATGTATGCCAGATACAAGTCCTTTTTCATCTCAGTCTCTTTCCTACTTTTCCATTTTCTTATATGTCTTCTCAAGAGAAATTGTTTTTAATTTTGATGAGCTTTACTTTATTATTTTATGGATCAAGCTTTCACTGTTCTAAAAAAAACTTGTTGAATCCAATGCCATACAAATTTTTTCTTATGCTTACTACAAGTTTCAAAACATTAAAGTGTATATTAAAGTTTAGGATCAATTTCAAGTTAACTTTTGTACATATTCTGAGGAATGCTTTCAAGCTGGTGTTTTTGACATATGGATATCCAGTTGTTCTAGTACCACTTGTTTCTTTTCTTTTTAGTTTTTGTAAATGTTTGGAGTGCTTACTGATTATCTTCATTGTGGAAGTCAGTGCATGTACATAACACATCCTATTGTTTTTTATTTTCATTCCCACTCCCCCCAACTCTATCCATCTCTTGACCCTCTTCCTTTATGCAAAATAGCTGTCTCCTTATTTCCTGTTATCTTTTATTTTATGCCATAATTTACTTACATTTCGTTTCACATAAAAAGAAA